AACACTTTTGAGATCAGTCAATAAATGCTTCTGGTATTGACTTATATGCTGCCCCTGTCTTCATGTTGTTGCTGGACATATCTTTTTTAAAATGTGTGTAGGTCACCTAAATCATCAGAAAAATTGCCCCCCCTGAGAATTTTTTCAGGAGCCGCCACTGCTCTAAATACACCTCGGCTGTCTTCAACCAGGATCTCAGCGATCACTGCCTCATTGCCTGCGTCCGTAATGGGTCTGTGGTCAAACGACCACCCCTCATCACTGTCAAACGCTCCCTAAAACACTTCAGCGAGCAGGCCTTTCTAATTGACCTGGCCCGGGTATCCTGGATGGATATTGACCTCATTCCGTCACTAGAGGATGCCTGGATGTTCTTCAAAAGTGCTTTCCTCTCCATCTTAAATAAGCATGCCCCATTCAAAAAAATCTGAACTAAGAACAGATAAAGCCCCTGGTTCACCCCAGACTTGACTGCCCTTGACCAGCACAAAAACATCCTGTGTCGTACTGCATTAGCATCGAACAGCCAGCGCGATATGCAACTTTTCAGGGAAGTCAGGAACCAATATACACAATCAGTTAGGAAAGCAAAGGCTAGCTTTTTCAAACAGAAATATGCATCCTGTAGCACTAAATCCAAAAAGTTTTGGGACACTGTAAAGTCCATGGAGAATAAGAGCACCTTCTCCCAGCTACCCACTGCACTGAGGCTAGGAAACACTGTCACCACCGATAAATCTACGATAATCGAGAATTTCAATAAGCATTTTGCTACGGCTGGCCATGCTTTCCACCTGGCTACCCCTACCCCGGCCACCAGCTCTGCACGCTCCGCCCTCTGACAGTCTCTATGGGGGTGCCACAGGGTTCAATTCTCGGGCCGACTCTATTCTCTGTGTATATCAATGATGTCGCTCTTGCTGCTGGTGACTCTCAGATCCACTTCTATGCAGATGACACCATTTTGTATACATCTGGCCCTTCATTGGACACTGTGTTAATAAACCTCCAAACGAGCTGCAATGCCATACAACACTCCTTCCGTGGCCACCAACTGCTCTTAAACGCTAGTAAAACTAAATGCATGCTCTTCAATCGAACGCTGCTTGCACCCGCCCGACTAGAATCACTACTCTCAGCGGGTCTGACTTAGAATATGTGGACAACTACAAATACCTAGGTGTCTGGTTAGACCGTAAACTCTCCTTCCAAACTCACACTAAGCATCTCCAATCCAAAGTTAAATCTAGAATTGGCTTCCTATTTCACAACAAAGCCTCCTTCACTCATGCTGCTAAACATGCCCTCGTAAAATCCTACCGATCCTTGACTTCAGCGATGTCATTTGCAAAATAGCTTCCAACACTACTCAGCAAATTGGATGTAGTCTATCACAGGCCATCAGTTTTGTCACCAAAGCCCCATATACTACCCCTATTGTGACCTGTACACTCTTGTTGGCTGGCCCTCACTACATATTCGTCGCCAAACTCACTGACTCCAGGTCATCTATAAATCACTTCTAGGCAAATTCCTGCCTTATCTTAGATCATTGGTCACCATAGCAACACCCAGCCATAGTATGCGTTCCAGCAGGTATATCTCACTGGTCATCCCCAAAGCCAATGCCTCTTTTGGCCGCCATTCCTTCCAGTTCTCTGCTGCAAATGATTGGAACGAACTGCAAAAATCTCTGAAGCTGGAGACACTTATCTCCCTCACTAACTTTAAGGATCAGTTGTCAGAGCAGCTTACCGATCACTGCACCTGTACACAGCCCATCTGTAATTAGCCCACCCAACTACCTCATCCCCATATTGTTATTAACATTGTTATTTATTTTGCTCATTTGCACCCCAGTATCTCTATTTGCACATCATCTTCTGCATATCTATCATTCCAGTGTTAATACTAAATTGTATTTATTTTGCACTATGGCCAATTTATTGCCTTACCTCCATAACTTACTACATTTGCACACACTGTATATAGATTTTCTATTGTGTTATTGACTCTACGTTTTGTTTATTCCATATGTAACTCTGTGTTGTTGTTTTTATCGCACTGCTTAGCTTTATCTTGGCCAGGTCGCAGTTGTAAATGAGAACTTGTTCTCAACTGGCTTACCTGGTTAAATAAAGGTGACATAAAAGTAAATAGAAATGTGTCGGTGCCTATGTTTGTGTTGCTTCACAGTCCCTGCTGTTCCATAAGGTGTATTTTTATCTTTTATTTATTTATCTGATTCTACTGCTTGCATCAGTTACCTGATGTGGAATAGAGTTCCATGTAGTCATGGCTCTATGTAGTCCTGTGCGCCTCCCATAGTCTGTTCTAGACTTGGGGACTGTGAAGAGACCTCTGGTGGCATGTCTTGTGGGTTATGCATGCGTGTCTGAGCTGTGTGCTAGTCGTTTAAACAGACAGTTCAGTGCTTTCAACATGTCAATACCTCTCACAAGTACAAGTAGTACTGAAGTCAATCTCTCCTCCACTTTGAGCAAGGAGAGATTGACATGCATATTATTAATGTTTCCTCTCTGTGTACATCCAAGGGCCAGCCGTGCTGCCCTGTTCTGAGCCAATTGCAATTTTCCTAAGTCCCTCTTTGTGGCACCTGACCACACGACTGAACAGTAATCCAGGTGCGATAAAACTAGAGCCTGTAGGACCTGCCTTGTTGATAGTGCTTTTAAGAAGGTAGAGCAGTGCTTTATTATTGACATACTTCTCCCAATCTTAGCTACTGTTCTATTAAGTATGTTTTGACCATGACAGTTTACAATCCAGTGTTACTCCAGGCAGTTTAGTCACCTCAACTTGCTCAATTTCCACATTATTTATTACAATAATTAGTTGAGGTTTAGGATTTAGTGAATGATTTGTCCCAAATACAATGCTTTTTGTTTTTGAAATATTTAGGACTAACCACCCATTCTGAAACTAACTGCAGCTCTTTGTTAAGTGTTGCAGGAATTTCAGTCGCTCTAGTAGCTGACGTGTATAGTGTTGAGTCATCCGCATACATAGACCGCTGTAGCTGCAGTCCTCTGTAGGTCAGCTGGTAGAGCACGGCGCTTGTAACGCCAAGGTAGTGGGTTCGATCCTCGGGACCACCCATACACAAAAAAATGTATGCACGCGTGACTGTAAGTCCCTTTGGATAAAAGCGTCTGCTAAATGGCATATTATTATTATTATTATTAGACACACTGGGATTACTCAAAGCCAGTGGCATGTCGTTAGTAAAGATTGAAAGAAGTAAGGGGCCTAGACAGCTGCCCTGGGGAATTCCTGATTCTACCTGGATAATGTTGGAGAGGCTTCCATTAAAGAACACCCTCTGTGTTCTCTTTATCCACAATATAGCAGGGGGTGTAAAGCCATAACACAAACGTTTTTCCAGCAGCAGACCATGATCGATAATGTCAAAAGCCGCTCTGAAGTCTAACAAAACAGCCCCCACAATCTTTTTTTTATCAATTCCTCTCAGCCAATCATCAGTCATTTGTGTAAGTGATATGCTTGTTTAATGTCCTTCCCTATAAGCAAGCTGAAAGTCTGTTGTCAATTTGTTTACTGTAAAATAGCATTGTAGACACTGGGAGACAAATTCACACTGGAGTCCAAACATACACTGGAGTTGCTTACCAAGACGCCATTAAATGTTTCTGGGTGGGAACCGATTTAAGTTAGAGTTTTGACTTAAATCGGCTTGAAAATCTATGGCAAGACTTGAAAATGGCTGTCTAGCAATGATCAACATCCAACTTGACAGAGCTTGAAGAATTTTAAACAGAATAATGTGCAAATACTGTACAATCCAGAGACTTACCCAGAAAGACTCACAGCTGTAATCGCTGCCAAAGGTGATTCTAACATGTATTGACTCAGGGCGGTGAATACTTATGTAAATTAGATATTTCTGTATTTCATTTTCAATCCATTTGCTAAAATTTCGAAAAACATGTTTTCACTTTGTCATTTTGGGGTATTGTGTGTAGATGAGTGAGAAAGAAAATCAGTTTAATCAATTTTGACTTCAGGCTGTAACACAACAAAATGTGGAATAAGTCAAAGGGTATGAATACTTTCTGAAGGCACTGTACATGTGGCCACTTGATGAGCATAATCAAACATGCGACTGTATGTCAAGCACAGGATCAGAGTAACCTTTTACCATCTCATAGCTTTGTGAGGACAGAGTATGAGTGGCGAAGCAAGATTGCAGGGTGTGATTCTTTATAATGACATCATTGGATGTGACTGGTTTCTATGACAGCGGTGCTCTACTGAGGAAAGAGGCATTCGTCTTCTTCCCCTCAGGGTTATTCCTCTTGTTTCCTATAAATGGCTGGTGCTCCTAGAGTCAAAACTCACCTTGACTGCATCAGTGTCCGCTTCTCTGACTTCTCTTACATGCTCACCAAATGTTTTGGTGGCTGTGTTTCTGTCTTGTCTTATTGTATAAAGCCAACCATTACCCTAGGAACTGACTGCATGAGCGTGTAGGCGGATAATACCCTCCTTCAACACAAACAAGGTCGATATATAGTAGTACTAGCGACAAAGACGTCTGTCTGACTCTTGCTTGGCCTGATTGTGTCTAGATGTTTGCTGATAAAATGGAAAGCCATAGACCTCTTCAGAATTGTATTCAACATCAATTCTGTTCTCAATGGCTGCCTTGAGATTTAGTCTGAATTTACATTTACATTTTAGTCATTTAGCAGACGCTCTTATCCAGAGCGACTTACAGTTAGTGAGTGCATACATTTTCATACTGCCCCCCGTGGGAAACGAACCCACAACCCTGGCGTTGCAAGTGCCATGCTCTACCAACTGAGCCACAGGGGACTACATGCACCTAACCCAGTTTAACTGGAATCCAGACGGCAAGGTCCTTCACTGTAGCCTATTATCAAAACTACAGGGTCTCAAGAACTCCATTGTGCTTCTGCCTATTGTTCACATAACAACTGCTATTATATGTAGTTTGTTCAATCTGTGTGTTTGTGTGATATCATTACCAGGGAAATAGGAAGCTTGCAGGCTCCAGATGCCAGATTGTCTGGCCCTTCAGGGGAAATCTCAACGTCATCCTTGAACCAGTGCAGCGCTGTTTCCTTCTTCAGATTCTCCACCTGCATTATGAAACAATAGACCCCGTGACCCGCAGAGAGGTGGACCAGCCCAAACAAAGAGGCATGACTGCACTACAACAACACCATCTGTCATCAAGCCTCTCAACAGAGGGGAACAACGACTAAGCTGAATCATGCTGACTGTGTTTGTCGTTTAGATTGGCATTAGCAATAACTCATGCCATGATTTCCATTTAATCTCTTGGCCTAATCTAATTGTACTTAAGGTGAATGTTTAATTACCTTGCAGACGAGTGCAACAGAGCAGTCATCCCCGACATGGACTGACAAAAACTCACTGAAGTGGGGGCCTGGAAATAGGGCAAGAGAGAGACAGAAGGCGCGAGAGGGAGGGTGTGAGGGAGAGAGGTGGTGGTGGGGGGGATTTTGGAGGGAGGGAGGGGGGAGAGAGGTCATATGAAGGTCACATTTTAATGCATTGTTTTGCTAATAACATCCTTGTAATATCCTTGTAACAATGGGTGGCTTATGGATTTGCTGGTGCGATAAATAATGTGAACCTTTTGTAAGGAATAAATAATTATGATACCTAATCATCATCTTAGTGTACTGGCTGTTTGAAATTCATATTTCATTTAAATATTACTCAAAAGAATTTCACAAACACTAGAGGATTGCATATATTTTTTTTAACTTTTACCCTCTTTCACTCTGATGTACTCGCTCCTTTGGTGTTCTGCGTCTGCAAGAGCTGCCTTGAAATCTAGAACCCAAACAAAGAGATACAGGGGATAAATCCTGGATACCTCATGGAGCCCACCCTGGATTAGAGTAATACAACTCCCCCACAGCAGACATGCACTCACCATCTCCGATAAGCACCAGAGAGGACTGGCCTCTGGCTTTTCCATCCTCGATCTGAACAGTAAAGGTACCCTCGCTATCCTCTGTGAAATGATCCAGCACAAACTCAATGATGCCGGTCTCCACGTTGTGACTCGCATGATTTGGCTGAGAACACAGAGAAGAAGACACCAAGAAAGTTTACAGGAGAGGACTTTACTGAGTGAATGTTGCGAATCCAATAATGTGGTTATGTTGTGTGATCTACTCTAGTCTTGGCTTAAAAAGGCTATTCATGCCATACATAGTGATGAGAGAGTAGAATGTCTAGTACAAAGAGAAAACAAATAGTCTGTGCATGTTGTGTCTGAAACAACACTCTTTTCCTGTATGGTGCACTACTTTTGACCTGAGCCCCATAGGGTTAGTCTCCTAGGGCACTGGTCAGAAGTTGTGCACTTTATCAGAAAAGGGTTTCTAAAGAAGTGCACTAAATAAGGAATGGGTGTCAAAAGTGCACTAGGGAATAGGGTACCATTTTGGACAGATTTTGGACAAAGACAATGTGTCACTTTAGTGTTGACAGGAATAAGGAAGTGAATCGTACATCAGTTGCTGAGAGCTCCTTGTTGTTTGCAAAGAACTTGTAGGTGACAGCAGAAGAGATGTGCTCAGCCTGCAGCCAGAAGCACATGCGACCGCGCTCCAGAATCTTGTAGGCCAGCTGAGTCTTTAGAGGGATCACTGTGGAAGCAGAACAAAGGGAGGAACAAGGTGATGCAAATAGAGGCAAGTTTTGTGATAGAAATTACATTTGCTCATGAAAGAAATGTCATTTGTTCAACACAAGACATTTTCCTCCTCAGAAAATGAGAATAGGCTGTAATGAACCACATGCTAAAAAGTTGCTAGAATAAAATGTATATAGTACGTATAAACTGGAAGTAGAGGCCTATGCATTGTTGTTCACTAGTTTACTCCAATTAGGGAAGGGGTGGTGGGGTTGGAAAGTAATAAAGGGAAATATAGTTTAAAAAAGGATATGTATCTATATATGTATGTATATGTATTTAAATGTATGTATGTGTACAGTTGAAGTTTACATACACCTTAGCCAAATACATTTAAACTCAGTTTCACACTTCCTGACATTTAATCCTAGTCAAAATTCCCTGTTTTAGGTCACCACTTTACTTTAAGAATGTGAAATGGCAGAATAATAGTAGAGAGAATGATTTATTTCAGCTTTTATTTCTTTCATCACATTTCCAGTGGGTCAGAAGTTTACATACACTCAATTAGCATTTGGTAGTATTGCCTTTCAATTGTTTAACTTGGGTCAAACGTTTCAGGTAGCCTTCCACAAGCTTCCCACAATAAGTTGAGTGAATTTTGGCCCACTCCTCCTGACAGAGCTGGTGTAACTTAGTCAGGTTTGTAGGCCTCCTTGCTCGCACACGCTTTTTCAGTTCTGCCCACACATTTTCTATAGGATTGAGGTCAGGGCTTTGTGATGGCCACTCCAATACCTTGACTTTGTTGTCCTTAAGCCATTTTGCCACAACTTTGGAAGTATGCTTGGGGTCATTGTCCATTTGGAAGACCCATTTGCGACTAAGCTTTAACTTCCTGACTGATGTCTTGAGATGTTGCTTCAATATATCCACATAATTTTCCTTCCTCATGATGCCATCTATTTTGTGAAGTGCACCAGTCCCTCCTGCACCCCCACAGCATGATGTTGCCACCCCCTGTTCTTCACGGTTGGGATGGTGTTCTTCGGCTTGCAAGCCTTCCCCCTTTTCCTCCAAACATAACGATGGTCATTATGGCCAAACAGTTCTATTTTTGTTTCATCAGACCAGAGGACATTTCTCCAAAAAGTACGATCTTTGTCCCCATGTGCAGTTGCAAACCGTAGTCTGGCTTTTTTATGGCGGTTTTGGAGCAGTGGCTTCTTCCTTGCTGAGCGACCTTTCAGGTTATGTCGATATAGGACTCGTTTTACTGTGGATATACAGTCGTGGTCAAAAGTTGAGAATGACACAAATATTAATTTTCACAAAGTCTGCTGCCTCAGTATTTATGATGGCAATTTGCATATACTCAACAATGTTATGAAAAGTGATCAGATTAATTGCGATGAATTGCAAAGTCCCTCTTTGCAATGAAAATGAACTTAATCCCAAAAAAACATTTCCACTGCATTTCAGCCCTGCCACAAAAGGACCAGATGACATCATGTCAGTGATTCTCTCGTTAACACAGGTGAGAGTGTTGACGAAGGCTGGAGATCACTCTGTCATGCTGATTGAGTTAGAATAACAGACTGGAAGCTTTAAAAGGAGGCTGGTGCTTGAAATCATTGTTCTTCCTCTGTTAACAATGGTTACCTGCAAGGAAACACGTGCCGTCATCATTGCTTTGCACAAAAAGGGCTTCACAGGCAAGGACATTGCTGCTAGTAAGATTGCACCTAAATCAACCATTTATCGGATCATCAAGAACTTCAAGGAGAGAGGTTCAATTGTTGTGAAGAAGGCTTCAGGGTGCCCAAGAAAGTCCAGCAAGCACCAGGACCGTCTCCTAAAGTTGATTCAGCTGCGGGATCGGGGCACCACCATTGCAGAGCTTGCTCAGGAATGGCAGCAGGCAGGTGTGAGTGCATCTGCACGCACAGTGAGGCGAAGACTTTTGGAGGATGGCCTGGTGTCAAGAAGGGCAGCGAGGAAGCCACTTCTCTCCAGGAAAAACATCAGGGACATACTGATATTCTGCAAAAGGTACAGGGATTGGACTGCTGAGGACTGGGGTAAAGTCATTTTCTCTGATGAATCCCCTTTCCGATTGTTTGGGGCATCTGGAAAAAAGCTTGTCCGGAGAAGACAAGGTGAGCGCTACCATCAGGCCTGTGTCATGCCAACAGTAAAGCATCCTGAGACCATTCATGTGTGGGGTTGCTTCTCAGCCAAGGGAGTGGGCTCACTCACAATTTTGCCTAAGAATACAACCATGAATAAAGAATGGTACCAACACATCCTCCGAGAGCAACTTCTCCAAACCATCCAAGAACAGTTTGGTGACAAACAATGCCTTTTCCAGCATGATGGAGCAACTTGCCATAAGGCAAAAGTGATAACTAAGTGGCTCGTTGAACAAAACATCAAAATGTTGGGTCCATGGCCAGGAAACTCCCCAGACCTTCATCCCATTGAGAACTTGTGGTCAATCATCAAGAGGCAGGTGGACAAACAAAAACCCACAAATTCTGACAAACTCCAAGCATTGATTATGCAAGAATGGGCTGCCATCAGTCAGGATGTGGCCCAGAAGTTAATTGATAGCATGCCAGGGCAGATTGCAGAGGTCTTTAAAAAGAAGGGTCAACACTGCAAATATTGACTCTTTGCATAAACTTAATGTAATTGTCAATAAAAGCCTTTGACACTTATGGAATGCTTGTAATTATACTTCAGTATATGTTTTGATTTTCCCATGATGTCAAGCAAAGAGGCACTGAGTTTGAAGGTAGGCCTTGAAATACATCCACAGGTACACCTCCAATTGACTCAAATGATGTCAATTACCCTATCAGAAGCTTCTAAAGCCATGACATAATTCTATGGAATTTTCCAAGCTGTTTAAAGGCGCAGTCAACTTAATGTATGTAAACTTCTGACCCACTGGAATTGTGATACAGTGAATTATAAGTGAAATAATCTGTCTGTGAACAATTGTTGGAAAAATTACTTGTGTCATGCACAAAGTAGATGTCCTAACCGACTTGCCAAAACTTTAGTTTGTTAACAAGAAATTTGTGGAGTGGTTGAAAAACGAGTTTTAATGACTCCAACCTAAGTGTATGTAAACTTCCGACTTCAACTGTATATGTATGTGTATGTATGTACAGTGGGGGAAAAAAGTATTTAGTCAGCCTCCAATTGTGCAAGTTCTCCCACTTAAAAAGATGAGAGAGGCCTTTAATTTTCATCATAGGTACACGTCAACTATGACAGACAAAATGAGAAAAAAAATTCCAGAAAATCACATTGTAGGATTTTTTATGAATTTATTTGCTAATTATGGTGGAAAATAAGTATTTGGTCAATAACAAAAGTTTCTCAATACTTTGTTATATACCCTTTGTTGGCAATGACACAGGTCAAACGTTTTCTGTAAGTCTTCACAAGGTTTTCACACACTATTTTGGCCCATTCCTCCATGCAGATCTCCTCTAGAGCAGTGATGTTTTGGGGCTGTCGCTGGGCAACACGGACTTTCAACTCCCTCAAAGATTTTCTATGGGGTTGAGATCCGGAGACTGGCTAGGCCACTCCAGGACCTTGAAATGCTTCTTACGAAGCCACTCCTTCGTTGCCCGGGCAGTGTGTTTGGGATCATTGTCATGCTGAAAGACCCAGCCACGTTTCATCTTCAATGCCCTTGCTGATGGAAGGAGGTTTTCACTCAAAATCTCACGATACATGGCCCCATTCATTCTTTCCTTTACACGGATCAGACGTCCTGGTCCCTTTGCAGAAAAACAGCCCCAAAGCATGATGTTTACACCCCCATGCTTCACAGTAGGTATGGTGTTCTTTGGATGCAACTCAGCATTCTTTGTCCTCCAAACACGACGAGTTGAGTTTTTACCAAAAAGTTCTCTTTTGGTTTCATCTGACCATATGACATTCTCCCAGTCCTCTTCTGGATCATCCAAATGCACTCTAGCAAACTTCAGACGGGCCTGGACATGTACTGGCTTAAGCAGGGGGACACGTCTGGAACTGCAGGATTTGAGTCCCTGGCGGCGTAGTGTGTAACTGATGGTAGGCTTTGTTACTTTGGTCCCAGCTCTCTGCAGGTCATTCACTAGGTCCCCCCGTGTGGTTCTGGGATTTTTGCTCACCGTTCTTGTGATCATTTTGACCCCACGGGGTGAGATCTTGCGTGGAGCCCCAAATTGAGGGAGATTATCAGTGGTCTTGTATGTCTTCCATTTCCTAATAATTGCTCCCACAGTTGATTTCTTCAAACCAAGCTGCTTACCTATTGCAGATTCAGGTCTACAATTTTGTTTCTGGTGTCCTTTGACAGCTCTTTGGTCTTGGCCATAGTGGAGTTTGGAGTGTGACTGTTTGAGGTTGTGGACAGGTGTCTTTTATACTGATAACAAGTTCAAACAGGTGCTATTAATACAGGTAACGAGTGGAGGACAGAGGAGCCTCTTAAAGAAGAAGTTACAGGTCTGTGAGAGCCAGAAATCTTGCTTGTTTGTAGGTGACCAAATACTTATTTTCCACCATAATTGGCAAATAAATTCATTAAAAATCCTACAGTGTGATTTTCTGGAATTTTTTTTCTTAATTTGTCTGTCATAGTTGACGTGTACCTATGATGAAAATTACAGGCCTCTCTCATCTTTTTAAGTGGGAGAACTTGCACAATTGGTGGCTGACTAAATACTTTTTTGCCCCACTGTATATATATATTTGTGAGAAAAAAAACATATGGGGGATTGGAAGTGATGCAGACAATTACATTGATGGAAGTTACAATCTATCTGTAATTTTAAAGCTGATCTACCCCTAAAAAAATTAAAAGTTAAAGTTGATGGAGCAAGGGCTGACAAATACTATTTTCTGGGATTAACAGTTGTCTCCTTTATGTGGTTTACACAGATCTTACCTCATCACCAGTCTACAACAGCACACACGCCCATACAGTATATGCAGATTATTCAAGCCAAAAGCCAAAAAATGTAATCGTCCATTTACCCTGAGCTGTGTTTTCCAAAAGAACATTTGATGGGGACCAGAACTAAGGAGAGTGAAAATAGAAAATCCATATTGAATAATTCAGAACAAAACCTACCCGGGTGTCTGATACCATAGCTCTTTGCCAGCAATTTCTCCAGCTCTGTAATAGAGGTAAACAAGGGGAAGTGCATTTCAGTACTCCAATGATCCAATATCTGTTTCGCAAATTGATTTCAGGAAACAGCCAAACAGCTTCCTCCACAGCAAAGCCTTTTTACATGAAACATTATCGTATACTTCCACGGTAACAGTTGTCTGCACTGCACAAGACCAGACATGCATGTACTGTATCACTACATCATATAATATTCATGAATGACTGTGAAAGGTGCCACTATTGTCTGCTGTATAATGAAGTGCTGTTGTGTTGACTTAGATGTACTAGTACAGTATGCATGCATGTATGTGCAAAATCTATTTTATACCATGATACGTCCATAATGAGGGTTATAAATAAGTAACCTCTTATTTACGATCCACTCCCCACCCAGGGCCTACCTTCAGCATGGATTTCATGGCTGGCAGAAACACCATCAGTGTTAGTTACAGCAACGGAGAAGCAACCCACATCCCCCTGGTCGGGGTGCTTGAAAATAAGCTTGGAGCTAGAAAGAAATGAAAGAAAGAGACATCATTTAATATAGGGTCCAGGAAATATTGAGCACACCAATAGAAGTATATTACACATTTCTGAATCAGTTTTATTTTGCTAAAATATATTTGATCTGTTGACAAGTTTTGTGCATAGCTTACGTGCTGCCCTCTGTTTTGATGACAATTTCTTTGGAGAAGTCAGTGATTTCCTTGTAGAATTTCTTCCACACAAAGTGGGAGCTCTCCGTAATTTGACAGCTTTCAAATGACAGGATGATGTCTCCCGACTCTTTGTCCACTGTGCAGGTCATCTCCTGGGCACCTTTTGGAGTGACAAAGCAAAGGGTGAAGTTGACAGGCAACAGAAATAGAAATCTGGGATTGCAAGCACAGCATGTCCTAGAGATTGGTGTTTAGGTGCAGTCATCCTATGGTAGTATGTTCATTATATGTCCACAGTGTATTTGTGTCTGTATGTTCTGCATCCTCTGTTGAATTAATATCTAGAGAATTGTGAGAATGACTTTTCCCTGATCTCACCCAGCCTTGCGCTTGAGTTGCTGAGGTCCCTGCAGAATACAACACTGCTCTCTGCTGGTTGCCTGATGCTCTCATTCCAACCACTTTACAGAGCTCAATATGAGTCATCTATTTTTCTCTCCTCCCACGTCCTCCCAATGTCTTATCGACAGAAGAACAGACTACCCCTCCCTAAGCCCCTCCTCAACATCCCTGTTTAGTGTACCCCACACTCCGTGGTGTTACTCTCCTACCTTTCAGCCAATCTAACTCCCATTTTAATGGGAATCCTGACCCAAATAAACATTCTCTGTGGAACACACTGAATGAATGTTGCTCTGTACTAAGCCACATTGAAGCTCAGCATTGGGAATTGTGTCTGTCCAACAGTACCTTCCACTGCTTTGGCAACCACAGGGTTAGAAGCCAAGGAAGGCTTGCCGGCACCTTCAGAGTTCGCCGCCCGCACTCTGAACACATAGGACACTCCAGCTTCCAGCCCAGTCACCTGAAAACAACAAGGACTGTAAAATGTGCCAGACAGGGTACATTGTCATAACTCATAGGTATTCTAGGAATACTCTGTACCTTGTGGTAGCGGTGACTGACAGCATGGCTCTCATTGGAACAGTGCCATTCATCTGAGCCTTTCTTGGCAAAGTCCACAAAGTAGCCTGTGATTGGGCTGGCGCCGGTGTAGACTGGAGCCTTCCACTCCACCACCACAGAGTCATCGCGGATCTCGCAGAAGGTCATGTCATAAGCTGGACCTGAAATTCAGAGTTCAGTAAATGTAGAAAATTACAGCCAAACAGTTCTTTATGTCAGACATGTAACTCTGAGCACAGAGGTCAGACTGTGTAATGTGTACGTGCTGCTATCTTAACGATTGATGTTGGAAGTGGCACTGGCGATAAGCTTGAATGCACCTCTTCCAGAATTCATCATCACATAAAAAGGATGAGATATGCATTAACGGTTTAAATATGCAACGGTATTTGCATGTAAAATGACATTCACTTCTTTGAACTATGCACACTTCGTTTCATCTTTAAAATATCAACTTGTTTCAGAGAGGTTTTCGGTACTGTACCTGGCTCGGGCATGGTCCAGGCATCACATTGGAATGCCTTGCTAGGGGCAGAGGGGGCACCAAGACCAGCAAGACTTCCACCATAAACCATGAACTCATAAACTGCACCTGCACTCAGATGTTCAACCTATAGTTGTGAGGGAAAGTGCTAAAATTGTTAAAACTGTTTGAATCACTGCATAATAGATTCCATATGATCCAATGATCCTAACTGTAACATATTTTTAAATGACTAAGGTCAATCAGATTTGTACCTTGAACAGCCTCTCTTTGATGGGTGGGATGTTGACCTCTCTCCATGTATGTTCTCCGTGCCTGCGTTTGTTGATGTAGTATTCAGCCACCGGAGAGCCACCAGAGTGGACGGGCCGCTTCCAGTTCAGAACCATGGACTCGCCATCACAAGCGAGCAGAGCAATGTCATATGGAGCAGAGGGAATCGCTGCAAACAGAGTTTATAAGTGTCTTAAACATGCATCATGGTGGATATATAGCAGGGGTCCCTAACTCTTGGAGAAATACTGGTTGTGCATGCTTTCAGTAGCATGTATATAATACATGAATCTTAGTTCATCATGGAGTCAACTAGCATGTTAAATATGATCATTGTTTGTTACAAACACAAAATACTGCAAGCCACATAGCTTGGAGTATCACCAATTAATGAGTAAAAAAATGGATGGTGAAACAATCTGCAGTTGTTGGTTGAATGTCCCAAAGGAACTCTATCAGCCAATGGTTTGTTTTCTACTCATATTGCCTAAATTATTCACATTATTTGGACAAGGAGAAAAATGAATGACGATAGACCAAATCCAATAGGCTCCCAGTCTGTCCTGCTGAAAGCATAATGGTCCTTTTCATTTATTGGAGACATTGATTTGAGATATTCGGCCAACTTTGTTTGTCATACTTCTGGAGAGCTACCAACAGTCTTGATAACCTTGTTACAATTTAATCACTATGATCATTCACAGAGAAAAGAGTCTCCAGCTAAGCACAGTGGGTCGCTAAAATCGTGTATTTGCAATTTTCTTCTGCTGTTACTTTTGCTACTGCCAGATTGAACCCAGCACTTTTTACGCCTGGTTGGAACCTCGACTAATGACAAGTATATCCTGTGTGTGTGTGGTGTGTGGTGTGTGGTGTGTGGTGTGTGTGTGTGTGTGTGTGTGTGTGTGTGTGTGTGTGTGTGTGTGTGTGTGTGTGTGTGTGTGTGTGTGTGTGTGTGTGTGTGTGTGTGTGTGTGTGTGTGTGTGTGTCTGCATGCGTGTGCATAGTGCATACTCACTGAGGGCAGCTTTGACAGAGAGGGGCGAGGACTCCTGTGATTCATCACTAAGACCCAGCTCATTGATGGCTTGCACACGGAAAACATACGTCTCACCAGTGGTCAAGCCTTGAACCACAAACCTAATCAAAAATAGTAGATTAAGTAAAATGTCAACACATTATGATGAATGAAATCACACTCTTCAAATAATAAGTCTATGACTGAATACATACTTGTTGCTCTTGTGAGGCTTGTGGTTAGCTGAAGCCCAGTCATTTGAGCCTTTTACACCCACATCAATGTAGTAGCCAATAAGGTTATTAGGCTCCTTGGGTTCAGCCCATTGGATAACAAGAGACGTGTCAGTCTCCCTTGTGGCAACCACTTGACCAGGAGCGGAGGGGACACCTACAGTAGATTAACAGAGCATGGTTAGGCTCCTTGAGTTCAGCCCATTGGATAACAAGAGACGTGTCAGTCTCCCTTGTGGCAACCACCTAACCAGGAGTGGAGGGGACACCTACAGTAGATGAACAGGGTTAATGTCAAGGGGAAAATGTAAACTATCTACTTACTTTAATTGAAGGACTATTATGTCTTAGCAAAATCTATTATATTAATAACTTTTTGACATTTTTCAAATTCCACCATTGACTATTGCTGTGCTTTGCAGGGAGTTTGACTTTTAGAGAGAATACTTGAGCCCAACCTTGAGGAGGACTCTAAGAGATAGCTATAAAGCCATTGAAGAGGAACCTCTTACCGCGCAGCTCTTGAGTCTGAATGGGCTCAGTAGGCTCAGAGGCTTCACTGCTGCCGTACATGTTTGCAGCCAGGACACGGAACAAGTACTGTTTTCCCTCAGCCAAGTCAAACACGGCATAGCGAGGAGATCTCACAGGCACCTGAGTGTTCACTCTCTGCCACGCACCGGTCTCAGCCAGGCACTGTGAGGGAAGAGCCCAAAAAACAACATTTACACCCTGTTACAACATCCACAGATACAGTCAAATGAAATGGAGAGAAAGATAGAACCCCAATTCATTTTGCTGACTTTAGCTATTAATTCGGATGGTGACCTGATTGTTATTGCCCTCGATTATACTATTGAACGCATCTTAAGAAAGATTCCATCTGTTTTAGAGCAGAGGTTCTCAAACTTGTTGGGGCCGGGGACCTCATAATCAGAACACAACTTGAGTGAGATAAAAAACATTTTGCATACAAGGAATTTTACTATGACTTCCGCAGTGCATGGCCGGACGAACCAAGTCTCGGGCCCTAGGAAGGAACATTTTAAAGACCCGCCTCTTGTGCAGTTTTCAAGCTAATTTCCTGCAATTCTACAAATTTTTCCATGAGGCAGAGAGAAAACTTTGCAGTTTTAATACATGAAGTATTCCAATGGTGTAACAAGCTTCCCCCTAAAGTCAGGACAGCGGAGTCCCTGCTCAAAAAAACGTCTGATACCAAACCTCTTTGAAGAGTATCTTAAATAACTCTGACGGCCCCCCCTACTAGCACTGACTTTGTTGATAAATATTTTTTTAAGGAGAATTTACTTGATACGATTGTGATGTGTCGTTGTCTAACCTAGCTATCTTAAGATGAATGCGTTAATTGTAAGAGCATCTGCTAAATGACTAATATTTGAAATTTAAAAAACATAAGTATTGAGTTGAAAACATTGATAATTGATGGAGTACTGTGGATATCAATGTCTCTGTGAGCCTTCCAGGCACATGTTTTTTATTTGATTTTTATTTGATTTATTAGGATCCCCATTAGCCGACGCCAATAGCGACAGCTAGTCTTAATGGGGTCCAACACATAACGAAAAAGACATTAAAGACAAAAGACTTTACAATTTACAAACAAATGTTACCCATGTTTAAGAACATAAATTGTAGATTAATAGTATTACTGTATTGTATTATCCCTGTATGTATTCCACAGATCCCTTGGCCAAAATTCATTTAATCTGTTCTTGTTAGTAATAATCATTTTTTTTTTTTTTTATTTTTTTAGATCTGGCCGCGGACAACCTAGAGTGCCTCGGGCACCGCAGACCCCACGTTGAGAACCCCTGTTTTAGAGGACACAAATCTAGCAATTCCATGTTGAAAATAAACCTGGGGAAGAACAGAGAGAGACCAACCTTCTCAATATAGTACCACACTGGGGCCCGGCCGTGATAGGGGGCAGGTTTCCAGCTGAGGACAACATATGTTCGGTCGGTTTCTGGGGCGTGCAACTTTGAGGGGGATCCTGGCACCTTCTTCTCATCTACGGACACAAGACATCACAGAGATTTACTGTATTTTGCCCAAGTGGGAGCATTCACCCGAGTTGACAAAAATATTGCCACAATAACAAATGTTTTCAAGGTTATGAAATTGTAGTACTGAAGGCTTTTTCTCTAGCTGTCTATGCACATCGATCTGTTGCTAGTATAGATGTGTTGCGTTCAGTCTGAAGAAGGTGCCACAGATGGTTGGATCTTAGCATCCTGATGGAATTCTCATCAAAAACTAATCAGCAGCTCTCTGATGAGCCCCAATTTAGGCTGTATAATTATTGCAAATTATTGAGATTGGAGAATCGTGAAAAGAAAAATGTGAAATGTGACAGTTGTTATTGGTGTTTTATTATACAGATGGAAGGCATGGTACAATGTGAGGGGCTAATGATATCTCAATATTCTAAACGGGTAGTTTACCCTCATTATTCTTATTAGTGCTACTGACTCTGATGAAGTGTAAAGAAATAAGCCTAAAAAAGTAATAGCATGACTGCTTAGAAGAACATCAAATATTTTTGTATCAAACTAGTTATCGAGTTTCAAGGACCCCCATATATCATAGAAAACCATTGAGTACCTTCAACGTCATCGTGGTAAGTTACAACGTCAAGTTTACCACCCAACTTGATGGCTGTCAAACAAAAATAAAAACAGAAAATTATATACATTAATTTGAGTCTAGAGTATACATGACCTCACAAGGTAACGTTTACGATGTCATCATCATATTACCATGGAGTCTTTCAAATTCGGTGGGGTCCAGTGCGGCGATGGGGTCAGACATTCTGGAGGGCTTGCTGATGCCTTTTGAGTTTATCGCCCGCACACGGAAGTAATAGGAGTGGCCCTCGAAAAGGCCAGGCACAGGGTATTTACAGATCTTAATGGGGGAGTCGTTGCACTGCACCCAATTTTCAGTTCCAGTTTCGCATCTGCAAAAAATGTAGGAAAATTGGTACATCTCCAAAAACCCACCTCTATTAAAGTTATTTGGGCTGATATAGCTACATTATTCTGTCACCAGCTACACATAGTGGTGGGAGATTATAGCTTGTAATTGACAGATTTGCCTCCCATTTTTGGCCTAGAATGATATGTGATTTTAAGAATAAAAATACCAGAATGTATATAATGAGGGCCTGGAGTTTTTCCTGGTCAGGTAAAGGCATCGGGGAAATAGTAGCTGGAAAAAGTAGCTGGATATATTCACATTTGATTCCCATTTTAACACCTTCCGTTACCTATCTACAAAGTATCCAATGATGGGGCCTTCAGTGGTGGTGTTGGGAGGCTTCCAGGACACGATGACATAATCTCTGTTGGCGTCATGAATCTTGATGTCCATAGGGGCACCTGGAGACCCAGGTATTGGGGGTGGACCATCTGGTATAGGGACACAAAGCAAGTCACATCATCACACTCTGTCAAAGTATATCACGCTATACCTGAAACACCCTGTGAACAGAATTGATTTGATTTGATCATTCAAGGACCAAAGTAGCTTTTTTGAAAGATATAAGAATATGGCTGATACTGCAGTTTTCAAAGTAGATGCATTGCTGGTACACACAGAGGTGGTATACAATTCTCAAAGTTAGCAGATTTTTTTACCTGCACAGGAGACGAATGCACTGTGCACAGCATCTCCCCTCTTTGTCACCATACGGAGAGTGTAGACGCCCTCATCATCCTTGTTCAGATGAGGCAGAGTCAGTTTGGTCTCGCCTCTACCGGAATCTATCTTCACCCACTTGGAGTCTGACAGACGATGATCTAAAACAAAACAAAAACGGCAACATTAAAAGTGAAGAACTGTCAGTGGCTGAAGTTACAAAAATGGTCTTGTAAATCGGCTGTTATTGAAAGCAGTTATGATTGTAAGAGAAAATGTGTTACCATCTCTGAACCATTGAGCTTCAGGCTGTAGATTGGCTAGGTTGGGGCTAATGTTCATTGTGGCTGCCAAGGTGACCGTGTCTCCTTCTGTTCCAAAGACCGAGCCAAAAGTCTCCAGGAAGGTGATGTTGATCTTGGTGTATTTGATCTCTGGCAACATGGGAACTGCAGAAGATAGTAAAAGAGGATAGACTTTATTATGACTCTATTTTAGTAATATAATTATAGATGACCATGATCAGAAGTATATTCTGCAATGATGTATATAATTACAAACACTTTAAAGGAGAGAGAGCACTGAATTATTCTGAATACTTTGTGGTTCTCTTTTTTAAAAATACTACAAAGACGCAATTCATGTTGTGATTAGTATAGAAGTTTCATCAGATAATGTTTCTGTCGATTCTTACAGGGATAAATAAAAAATAACATTGTTCTCATACGTTGAGAAAGCATGTTTGAGTTGATATACCATCTACAATAGTTTATGTTTGTCTCTCACTATAGTATAAACATTGTTGATATGTAGGATACTTCCTTGCAACGCAAGACGAATGACGCCCTATTCAAACAATCCCCAGTTACTGGATTTTACTCAACAGTGGTCAAGATCTACTCAGAGGATAAATGAAGTATCAGGAAGAATACACAGGACAGTTGTGTTGGGTGGACTTACTTGTGTAAGGAAGCCATGCAAAGGAAGATGAATGCCCCTCTTCTCTGAATCCTGTGAAACAGACATATTATACACACACAATCACTATACAACAACAAAATACATTACACCATAATATTGTATTATGGTATAAATCAAGTATTTACGCATACACTTATCATTTAAATAAGCCATATCATGAAAAGCAATGCATTAACTAAACGTACAGTGGGGAAAAAAAGTATTTAGTCAGCCACCAATTGTGCAAGTTCTCCCACTTAAAAAGATGAGAGAGGCCTGTAATTTTCATCATAGGTACACGTCAACTATGACAGACAAAATGAGGGAAAAAAATCCATAAAATCACATTGTAGGATTTTTTATGAATTTATTTGCAAATTATGGTGGAAAATAAGTATTTGGTCAATAACAAAAGTTTCTCAATACTTTGTTATATACCCTTTGTTGGCAATGACACAGGTCAAACGTTTTCTGTAAGTCTTCACAAGGTTTTCACACGCTGTTGCTGGTATTTTGGCCCATTCCTCCATGCAGATCTCCTCTAGAGCAGTGATGTTTTGGGGCTGTCGCTGGGCAACACAGACTTTCAACTCCCTCCAAAGATTTTCTATGGGGTTGAGATCTGGAGACTGGCTAGGCCACTCCAGGACCTTGAAATGCTTCTTACGAAGCCACTCCTTCGTTGCCCGGGTGGTGTGTTTGGGATCATTGTCATGCTGAAAGACCCAGCCACGTTTCATCTTCAATGCCCTTGCTGATTGAAGGAGGTTTTCACTCAAAATCTCACGATACATGGCCCCATTCATTCTTTCCTTTACACGGATCAGTCGTCCTGGTCCCTTTGCAGAAAAACAGCCCCAAAGCATGATGTTTCCACCCCCATGCTTCACAGTAGGTATGGTGTTCTTTGGATGCAACTCAGCATTCTTTGTCCTCCAAACACGACGAGTTGAGTTTTTACCAAAAAGTTATATTTTGGTTTCATCTGACCATTTGACATTCTCCCAATCCTCTTCTGGATCATCCAAATGTACTCTAGCAAACTTCAGACGGGCCTGGACATGTACTGGCTTAAGCAGGGGGACACGTCTTGCACTGCAGGATATGAGTCCCTGGCGGCGTAGTGTGTTACTGATGGTAGGTTTTGTTACTTTGGTCCCAGCTCTCTGCAGGTCATTCACTACGTCCCCCCGTGTGGTTTTGGGATTTTTGCTCACCGTTCTTGTGATCATTTTGACCCCACGGGGTGAGATCTTGCGTGGAGCCCCAGATCGAGGGAGATTATCAGTGGTCTTGTATGTCTTCCATTTCCTAATAATTGCTCCCACAGTTGATTTCTTCAAACCAAGCTGCTTACCTATTGCAGATTCAGTCTTCCCAGCCTGGTGCAGGTCTACAATTTTGTTTCTGGTGTCCTTTGACAGCTCTTTGGTCTTGGCCATAGTGGAGTTTGGAGTGTGACTGTTTGAGGTTGTGGACAGGTGTCTTTTATACTGATAACAAGTTCAAACAGGTGCCATTAATACAGGTAACGAGTGGAGGACAGAGGAGCCTCTTAAAGAAGAAGTTACAGGTCTGTGAGAGCCAGAAATCTTGCTTGTTTGTAGGTGACCAAATACTTATTTTCCACCATAATTTGCAAATAAATTCATAAAAAATCCTACAATGTGATTTTCTGGATTTTTTTTCTCAATTTATCTGTCATAGTTGACGTGTACCTATGATGAAAATTACAGGCCTCTCTCATCTTTATAAGTGGGAGAACTTGAACAATTGGTGGCTGACTAAATACTTTTTTCCCCCACTGTATATACTGTCTGTTTGCCTTGTCAAACTTACTCTTGACAATGACAGAGGCCTGAGTAGAGACCTGTCCATGAATGTTACCAGCCACAGCAGTGTACTGCGCTGTGTCATCAGTTTCACACCTATAGGGAATACCGGAAGAATACATTGTTGATAATGTCCATGAACACACAAAAACATCTCAGCAATACCTAAGGCTTAGACTTTTTCTCTATCTATAGTTTGTGTGGGTTTAGTTTTGTATGTAGGACTGATTAATTGACTAACCACCTAACATAATTTCCTGAGTTGAATTTACAGGATGGTAAACTTTCAAAGGATAACAAATTATGCAGATTATGCAAATTGCTGTTGACAAAATGATTACTGGGAAATATCAAGCCATGATCCTCATTTGAAACGGTGCTATGACTTTATGAATGCACAGTAAATGAATACAGCAAATGTAAATACTTTTCTAGCTTGTAAGGGCCTCTTATCTTGACCTCTACAGTATAACCACACACTCAAGGTCAGATATTATCAAATGTTTTGAACTCAAGAGGAGATATAATGCAATGCAGGAAAAAAACAAACCATGAATTATTCAGGAGATATTCATGAGTGGCTCTAAGACATGAATGGCAAACATCTGAAGCTGCAAGGGGAGAGTAGGTCGAGAATAGTGACAGATATAAGACCTTGACCCTGCACACACTATTTTAAAGCTGTCCATGCTCACTTTCCCTCTCTGTCTCCAAACCATGGTTGTTTTCTTTGAGTGTGAAAGAGTTTGAACCCAGGGAGAATACAGAGTGGCATTTCTTTATTGAGACCCTTCACTTTGATTTGGAGAGGCAAAAAGGGCTTTGAGACTTAAGGTGCGATCTAGAGTTGGTGCCCCTGACACTGACAGCGAGCAGATACAGCGCTCTTTAAGGATCTCCAGGATCAAATGACATAGAGCTCAGCACTTCGCTATGAACAGCTGATGAGTCCTCAAGACGAGGGCGGTGCCCGGGGGGCTTTGGTCTAAATTGGAAAAGCTCTACCACTACGGCTCCACCATTCACAAGGCTCCCTTTTGTGGACACTTGAGTGTTAATTAAGTTAACAGTAAACACTGTGATTGTGAGTGAAATGCAGGGAGGCCACAATGAAAATCTCAGATGGTCCAGGAGCAAAGTCATGATATTGTATGAGACTTTTTAAATGGGGGCGATAAGCTACCATGAGAGGATAATGTTTTCCGGACAAATGGATCTTAATAATCAAAAACCTGTGATTTCCCTCATTGTTTTACCACTGACGGTGTGTATCCACTGTGCAGCCTAAGGTATGAAATACATAGACTAGCTGTAGCTATTAATAATTTTTTCCCTCCTGTGAGAATAACTTACTTGGCGATCTCCAGGTTATGAATTCCAACATTGTCCTGCACATTGTATTTCATTGACGATAAGTCAATGCTGACACCATCTTTATACCTGGAGAGAAATCAAGTAAAAGTGGTTAAGGTGAAGTCTTTCAAGTGGCTGTGGTAACACAGGAAAAAAGTAATGACAGTGCGCAGAATATTATGATGTGACTGTGTATAAGCAGTCTGCACTTTGTCATAACGAGTACCTTTAGTGTAAAACTATAAGACGCAATTCTCAAGAATGGGAAAAAGCATTGCTACAGAGACAGTGAAAGGTCAAGATTAGCTATGCTGACCTCTTAACCTCAGCTGAAATCTGACACCATCAATCATCCGTAAAACTTTGACCACTATTTCACTCTCACAGAGGGTATGAAAGAAAAACACTAGCATTAAGCAGTTCTCCCTTTGTGCTACACTAGTACAATAACATTCTGCACCCATAGATAAGCCGCTAAATGCTGTTGTTGAACTTGCTGAATGACTGTTTTGGACACAGATGTAGGATCTTAATTTCATCACTCTTTTGTAACTGAGAATTTTCCTGCACAGCAGGAAATGCAAACTTGTAGTGTATTCAAGGTTTAAAAAGGCTTCTGAAATTTGTATTTTCCACTTTAAAATATCATACTTGATTTACCATAACGAATGTATCAATGTATCAACCCCTACCAAAAATGTCCATTAATTATCATCCACATAATAATTCACATTTCTTGTTGCTGCAGGATTATTTTACTGCTGTAGCAAACTGGCTCAAATGACGATCCTAAATCTGTATTTAGACTGAATCCTCACCATTTCACAAAAGGGGTTGGGTAACCCTCGACCGTGCAGTACAGCTTCACGGGAGCGTGCTCCCAAACGGTATGGGATCGGAGTGTGGTCAGGAACTTAGGGCCCCTGATCATAGACTCCTCACGAACGTACTTCTCAACCATCTTCTTCCGCACCTGAAGGTAATATGGACATGTGACATTTCTCTTCAATACCCTTTTCACACTACTAAGCCAAGCCAAGCTGAGGCGACCTGTACTGCGCTGGCCCGGTAATGCATCCACCATAGTTACAGGAACCGTGCTAGACAGGATAATGCAAAAAGTCAATATCAGAGCCTGCACAGTACGGTTTGGCTTGGCTCAATCGTGTGAAAAGGGTACAAGGCTTGTGATACTCAATATTTTCGCTCGTCTTTTTCAAATGACATCGTTAATTATGGTGACATGCTGAAATCTCCCAACATGACAGATGAGGACCTTACCACTCCCTGGATTCTTGTTTCTTGTTTGTGATGATAATCGTCCTCCACCACCTCAGAGCTATATCAACAAAACAAACTTAGTTAAAGGATAATTTTAAAAAGGTCAACATAAAACAGTGTAATTATGTTTAAGTAAACAAATATAAGAAAAGCCCAACACAGTGAAAAACTCTAAGCACCACAAAAAACATATACTGTATGTTAAGTCTAACCATAACAATTATTATTTGCTATACATACAGTAAGCATCTTATTTGCATTTTAATCATTGGCTTATTGCTGAGTAAATGTAGTTATAGAGCTACACTTCGTTAGCATCAAAAGATCTCTAATAGCATCATGTTGACAGTGTTCTCATGCCCTTTTTATCAGATTACCTAATGTACTATTTCTTGAGGATGAATCATCAGTCTGTACATACCAGACAGAATGATCATAGAAGTGTGTACAGGTAATATAGATTACGTGATCTGAGATGACACAGATAAAACTGGGTACAATCCATAGACTGTATGGTGCAAACTAATGCGAGTGTCCTGTCTCTACTCCTGACGTCAACAAATACAAGTAAACACACCCTTCTTTAAAGGCAAATCAGTCCAAGGTGTATTACAGAGGAAAATGTTAATGGTATTATAATCATACCCAAACAAATTTGACAGTTAGTCACCATACAAGACAGTGAAGCATTTGTGTCCCCAGTTTATAGAAGATAATGTGATCCAGTGGTGTAGTGGCAACAGGATGGCTGCATAGTTACATGAGATTAGACAATTAGCAGGGAACCAACCTCTTAGTGGGTTACAAGTGCTCTCTCTAGGTGTAAACTTACCCACTGTTAAATACCCAGCTGAATACACTAACTACCATTTGAAACTGTACACCCAGGGCCAGATTTACTTTATGTATTTACACCAGTGCTTTATTCTCAGATGGGAATAAAGACCAGAAAAAATGTGTTAACTGTCTTAATTTACATTTCATTTAACTATGCTAAATAAGCTCTATACCATTTAAATGTTTGATTCACTCTGGTAAATATCAGGTGCAATTTATACTCCTATGCAAACATTTGTAAATCTGGTCCCCAGTTTCCAAACCACTAGTATGTTTCAAATGAAGCATAGGATTCCTGTGGGCCCATCTGCCTTACCTTGTGTACTGCTTTGCTACAACCTTAGACTGTGCACTGTGGTAGTCATGACTGACGTGCACGTGCTTGTGTCTGGCAACTGTCGCAGCCATAGTTGATAACTTTTAATGACCTGTGATTCAAATGAGGAAAACACATACTGTATTCTATTGGCTAACAGTAATATAATGGCAACCATTGAGATACAGTATATTCGTTGTATCTCGATGATGGCAACAAACCATGTTAATGTAGATTTACTAAAATGCAATGCAACGGATCCATGGCTCTTCGGGCTCTTTGATCCATTGATGCATTTCAGGGCACAAAATGCAGTACGGTACAGTATGTCCTTCAACATCAAATTATATGGCTTAGGTATTAGTGCCTGTGAGGTTACAGACACTGAGGGTAGAATTCCATCAAACCTGCACTGCGGGAGAAAGATTGGGCCTGTTCTTATGTAATGGAAGAGTCTGAGTTATGGGCAGAAGAGATGGAAAGCAAATTCATTGGAGGTTTAAAATTAGAGGGTGGGGGTTGAGGCTTAGAGCTAGTTAATGGCTCAAGTATTCATCTATGAAGGTTTAGTTATTACCAGTTATTCTTACAATACAGCAATCTAAATGTCATTCAGACACCTATTAAATATGAAGGAGTTGAATGTAACCTATATTCACAGGTGATATGGAGATAAATAAGAACATACAAAACCATATAGCCTTTAACAGATTGAGTATTAACAGACACAAGAACAGTCTGAGCACCTGCAAGTTATCTGAATTACAGTAAATAATATTGGGATAAGGTCAAAACTTAGTTTAAAGTAAGTGTCCAGTGTTTGCAGATTTCTATGAAATAGTTTTTCCTTCCAAAAAAGGTTTAATTATGTATGTTAATTAAAAAGCAGCTTTTCTGTGTTGGAATGGTGTAGGCTAACCCCAACCACAGAATGGTGTGGGCGTAAACCGGTCATTAAAAATATTGATTTCAGCACACAGCTGATTGGCCAGCTCAGCCAATCAGTTAACAGAATATTAACTTTTAAAAGTGAGATTTTCACTGGACAGTTACTTTAGAACTTAGCTTTGAATATGTTCTCTGAATATGGAAATAGTTTAAATATTCTACAGGCCTATGTCAGCCTTAAATTCCCACAGTCCTACACAGTTGCATATTGCCTCTCACTGTGTATTAGAATAGATTTACAACCAAATAACAGAGCGTCTGCTAAATGACTCAAATGTAAAATGTAAATTTACCAGTCAGGCTAATTTATAGGTACTTCTCAAGTGCAGCAAAAGTGCTTAACATCTGAGATTTAGGCACCAGAAATATCAACCCCTTGACACTTGAACTCCTGAGCCACATTTCTCTGCATATAGAAGACACAAGTAAGCTGTCTTTTTATAGAATTGATTTTAAAAGTCTATATAAGCTGATGCATCCATTTATCAACATGCCATCAGAGCAATATTCTTATATCGATCAAATATGTGTCCAAAAACTATTTCAATGAATATTGATAGATAATATCCTTATTATGTCAAGGTCTAGGCAGTAGCCTAGGCCCTAATTAGGTAACTAGACTAATCAATCTCCACATTCCGATATAACCAAGTACCAAGCACACATCTCTCAATTCAACACCTTTCTGAAAAATCCAATAATCTGAAAAGCAAGGAAATAATAGGCCTGACTTACCCCAAGAGATTACACGAGCGCAAAGCAGAGGTAGGTCAGCCTAAACCCGCTTGGAAGTCACTGGCTGATGAAAACCAAAGATTACCCACACAGAGTGCAGCAACTCTTGCATCCCATTTATGGATAGGCATATGACTATATTTAGCTTTTACATCAACCCTTAACATAATTTCTTAGTAGGCTAGGCACATATCACGTAGTGTTGGTTCTTATTTGCTCACTGAATAGGTCATAAAAAAATATATCCAGTTTCCAATATTTACACAGTTTGGCCTAAGCACAATGTGTTCAGTTTACTTCATTTAAATAATGCCATACTTTTTTTTTCAACTCTATCCATGAAGTTGAGGAACATTTTTATATAGCCTATATTTGTTTTTATATGTATTAGCTTTAGGCTATGTTCATTTAATATTGCTTAGCTCTATGCTCAAATCAAGGAACCTTAAGACAGAATCTTAAGATGACCCCCTGAAACCTGAACTGTAGCCAAGCACTATTTTTAACGGGAGATTGGGTTAACAGACACCACAGTGGGATATGCCTAGGCTATTCCTGCCAATAGCCCCAGAGGCAATGTCACACAGTTAGTTAGCTTAATGCAAACATAATTAATCTATTAGTTAGCTACAAGACCTAAATGAAAACAAAAACGGCTCATTCATAGCATACTGTCTAAAATAACATTGTAAAACATTTAGCAAAGCCTGACCATTTTTTATATAAATATTACAGAGATAAATGCAATTGCAATAAAGATTCAACACATATTTGTCTGTTTATTTAATTTTATTAAACTGTATGGCCCAGTGGAATATCATCATGTAAATCTGTGTTCAATACTCGCGGTGAGTGTGCGCGGCAGTGCGGTATAGCTGCCTACACTTTTCACATGATCTCACGTGACTTACATTTTCTGAGCATGTGACGCTCAGTTCAGCTGTTGCAGGAAAACAATTTCACGGTATTGTTGTTGTAGGCTTCTACCAGACGTAGAAGCGGACGGAGTGTGGCTGTCTCATTTTAAACCATAATAAGTGATACTAGTGGAACCTTCATATTGCTAATCTGTCAAACGACATCTCTGTTTCCTCATCTAAATGGCCCTTCCAAACGTATAGTTGTGTATACGCCAGGTTACTGTAGCAGAGTTTTATTTCGAACCACAGGAACAAAAGAACAAAAAACGGGTAAGAACTTATTTTGTCCCTCGTAGGTTACATTTCAATCTTACCCACACAGTATACGTTTAGCCAGGTGGCAGGCCCAGGTGATACTGGAGACCTTGTGTTAGTGAAATAATGTAAGAAAGTAGCCTTTTGTGCAAACGGAAAGTTGCGCTCCCCCACACTTACGTCAGGTTTGGTGGTTGGTTACAGATTTGCGAAACGCGTTCCATTTTTTGACTGCGGAGCTGATGGGTGCAAATATAAGCTCAATAGTATTTGTCAAGCACTAAAATAACAATGACGCCATGTCAACCATTGTATAACTGTTTATTGCATAAGTTATCTATTAACTAAAATTGAACTAATGTATATTAGGCTAATCTTTTAAGTTGCCTATAATAGGCCTTATAATTGTAAGAGTTAGCCTACCAACCAGGGGCGGTGTGTTCAATAGGGCGATATGGGCGACGCACTGCCAAACGGGAAAAGGAAGGGATTTTTTTTCTAATCAATTATATCACGGCAACAGTAGTTATCAGTGTTGTAATCTAGACGTCTGATCTGCCACAGTGCCACTAAATGTCCAATCAGGCTAAAGTCGTGCTTCAAATGGCCCCCCCCCCCTTTTGGGGCGATTTCAGTCAGGTTGAAAATCGCCCAGAAGTCTGTCATAGACTCCCATGTAAAATCTATTTTTTTCAAATATCAGAGCTTTCAATACAATCTCTATGGGTTTCTGAGGGCTTGCACTTACGCGCTTTCGTCATACGTAACGTAACCATGAACGTAACTAAGAAAAGAGCGGGTAGCCTCATCAATCAATTCACGTACTACTATCAAGATGGCTATAGCGTTCAGTGCAACTCGATTGTCTCTTTGAAATAAGTTACTTTTTGTCGGCGAACAAATCAAGATAAATTGGCAACGAAACAATTAGGACCTCCCAGACCAAATGTAATAATTCAACAGGTTTCTACTAAAGGGGGGAAGTCCTACACCCGAGGATTTTCCAAAAATTGGTACGAACGAAAAACCTGGCTAGCAGGCTGCGATGTAGCTAATGCAGTCTTCTGCTACCCCCTGCTTACTCTTTCACCCTGAAGGCGGCACGGCAGACAGCACCGCTTGGACAGCGACTGGTGTGTAACGGACATGCACCATCTTTCAGGAAAGATTAAGAAACATGAGCTGTCAAAGACCCACATGGATAGCTGTTTGAGATTGTCTGCTTTGGGGAGAGTGAACATTCCCACTCAACTGGATGAGGGATACAGGCTAGCTGTCCGCCGCCACAACGATGAGGTTAGTGTTGATAATCACAAGTTTACTGGAGAACTGAAACTGACAAGGCTGACAAGATAGGATCCTTTTGTCCATTGTTATTGGATAGGAACAGAACTTATAACCAGCTCCTGACCTAAATAGATCTTAGCACAACATTTTACTCAACATATCATATTCCATATTCACTATAACAAATATATTTACTACGACATTAGCAAGAACCGCCACATCCTCAGCCGGCTAATCCAGTGTGTGAAGTTTTGCGGAGTGTTTGAGTTAGCTTTGCGAGGCAAAGATGAAACTGAGGGCTCCACCAACCCTGGTAAGCCAACACTTTTGAGATCAGTCAATAAATGCTTCTGGTATTGACTTATATGCTGCCCCTGTCTTCATGTTGTTGCTGGACATATCTTTTTTTAAATGTGTGTAGGTCACCTAAATCATCAGAAAAATTGCCCCCCCTGAGAATTTTTTCAGGAGCCGCCACTGCTACCAACACATATTAGACCTACAGCTAAAATCAGTTCAGCTGTGGCCCAAAATCTACCTATCCTAATTGTATGTTTTCTTTGTTTCAGTGTAAATATGAAATCATTGGCACTTGTTGTCCTGCTGTGCCTTGGCAGCGGTCTGATGACTTCCTCATTCATACTCGAACCGCCGTAAGTACTGGTTATATCTGTTTGGTTAATGCCAGTTGCCAACCAGGGCCTCTGCATCAAGCCCTTAACTGTGTCTGTGTCTTTCCTAAGTAAGTAAGTAGCCTTTTTCGAGTCACAATGGCCCATAGGGCAGCGTGAGGCAGCTTGATGTACAAATACACATCCTGGACAGGACGGTTACCACCAATCCATCTCCTTAATGCTGAGTGGCAAGTAGAGAGGAATCAGGTCCCAGTTTTAGAGCGTTTGGTTTGACCTGGGGAACCTTCCAATCTCGGGGACACTAACCACAAGGCCACAGAGCTGGTGTCATTCCATAGTTGGCCTCTATGCGAATTGAAGGCCATTAAATGAATGAGGCACTTTGATTGTGCTAATGTTACATTTTATTGAACTCTGCTTTATTTCAGGCATATGTGGAGTAAGCTGATCCTGACTCACCACTGGCCGAGCACATTTTGCAGTGTAAGTTACTTTAATATATAGTTTCATGGCATAATAAACTCTACGTATCATGTGATGATTTGATCATGTGATTGATAAGGTGGCCCTAAATTGCCAGATTTTCAAATCAAATCAAATCACATGATTTTCCACCTTGTATGACAAAATTAACATTTCGATTTGCAGATGGAACACTGTCATTCCAAATTTGACTACTGGACTTTGCATGGACTGTGGTAAGGAAGGACATTCAACAAATTCAGTAGGAAAGTGAGTTTTTTGACTGACCAGATGACATAAACTGTTTTGCATTCTATGTTTGTACACATTTGACCAATGTCTTTGTCTTACAGGCCAGATAAAGGCCAGGAATGCAATTCATCTTTGCACTTCAATGAAACTCTAATCCAGGTATGTTCTGCTGGGGGAAAAACATTTAAAATACAAACATTCAGAAAAAGCATAGAGCTCATTCGTGACAAAAATATATAATTTTGATGGTAAAAGTAAACATGTTAATTTATTATTTTAAATTAAGATAAATATTTGATAATGACTATGTTTTACAGGACCTACTTCCAGAAATGCAGAAGTGGTGGCCGGATCTTAAAATTCCTGAATCCTCTAGATTCTGGTCTGTTCCAGTTTTCTATTTTGTATAAATACTTTACTCCAGGTAATTGTTATATTTTCAGGTAACAATATTTTTCTAAACAAATGTTAGTGTTTGATCTTCTATTTACAGGAAATATGAATGGCAAAAACATGGAACATGTGCTGCAAAAGCTGAGTCCCTAAACAGTCAACACAAATACTTTGGTAAAGCCCTGGAGCTGTATCACAAGTTAGACCTTGATGGGTAAGTGTACTGAATTAACAATAAAGTACCCTCATGAAACATATGGGATAATGTATGGTTTCAATACCCTGAACCCTAATTTATGTTTTCTACTAGTTATTTATACATTCTTTGTATGTTTTCAGGGTGATGAAGAAATGTAACATTGTGCCCTCTGAGACTTACTACACAGTAAGTACATTACCAAGGACAATGTAATTTTGCACTGAGTAAATAGCTGCATGTTTAAAGTTAAACTTCAAGCATTTCTGCATCATATCAAGCAACACACTATACTGTGTTTTGGGAAACCTGACAATTTTAAATGTGTGAGCATGTGAAGTCAGCAGTGACTAATTTACTGCAAGTCATTTGATTTACTGTTCCTGTTTACTTAGCTACTGGCAGTAAAATGACCCAGATGTGTGCATGTATTCAATACCATGTTATCAGCCGGTATTGACCCATTACCACCGATAACCGATATTCAATAAATAGGATGAAAAAAGGGAATCTCATGCTTATCTGAATATTTGCAGCCATTCCCCTCAATGTTTCGTTATTGTCACAATGTAAGGAATCAACATTTGAAGCAAATTTCTTGGACAATTGGTCTTTGGGATGGCAATTTATGAGAACTCAGTGTGGAGAAATTACACTTTTTCATTTCCCCTCTTTAAAACAGTATATCAGCAGATACAGTGCCTTCAGAAAGGATTCATACCCCCGACTTATTCCACATTTTGTTGTTACAGCCTGAATTAAAAATGGATTAAATATATTTGTTTCTCACCCATCTATACACAATACCCCATAATGACAAAGTGAAAACATGTTTTTGGCGAATGTATTGAAAATGAAATACAGAAATATAACATTTACATAAGTATTCACACCCCTGAGTCAATACAATTTTGATGGGGGTGGGGGCCACAAAACATCTGAACACATGAGGGGTTGTAGTTGCTTGTGGGTCTGCGTACCCACATGTGCATAGCTGTTTTACAGCTAATTTCCTGCAATGTTACACATTTTGTCATGGGGTGGAGATACGATTTTGCAATTTTATATCTAATTTTATGCAATTCTACTAATTTTGCCATGGGGCTAAGAGGAAAATGAGCTATTATCAGTTACATAAAATTAAAACTGCTGATGCACAACCAAATTTTGAAATTGCACCTTGTGTATTGCAACAGTAAGTTGAGACCCTAACTCTTTTTTAAATGATTTTTTATCTGACTGCCGGCCCACGGGCCGCCAGTTGCTCATCCCTGCTCTAAGAGCTTTCCACACTTGCCCATTTATTATTTTCAAAATTCTTCAAGCTCTGTCAAATTGGTTGTTGATCATTGCTAGACAACCATTTTAAGGTCTTGCTATATATGTTCAAGTATATTTAAGTCAAAACTGTAACTGGGCCACTCAGGAACATTCACTGTCATCTTGGTAAGCAACTCCAGTATAGATTGGGCCTTGTGTTTTAAGTCATTGTCCTGCTGAAAGGTGAATTAATCTCCCAGTGTCTGGTGGAAACAGACTGAACCAGGTTTTCCTCTAGGATTTTGCCTGTGCTTCATTTTTATCCTGAAAAACTCCCCAGTCCTTAACGATTACAAGCATACCCACAACATGATGCCGCCACCACTATGCTTGAAAATATGGAGTGTGGTACTCTGTAATGTGTTGGATTGGATTTGCCCCAAACATAACACTTTGCATTCAAATCAAATCAAATTTTATTTTTCACATGCGCCGAATACAACAGTGTAGACCTTACCGTGAAATGCTTACTTACAAGCCCTAACCAACAATGCAGTTCAAGAATTGGAGTTAAGAAAATATTTACTAAATAAACTAAAGTAAAAAATAATAATAATAACAAAAACGAGGCTATATACAGTGGGGGAAAAAAGTATTTAGTCAGCCACCAATTGTGCAAGTTCTCCCACTTAAAAAGATGAGAGAGGCCTGTCATTTTCATCATAGGTACACGTCAACTATGACAGACAAAATGAGGAAAAAAATTCCAGAAAATCACATTGTAGGATTTTTTATGAATTCATTTGCAAATTATGGTGGAAAATAAGTATTTGGTCAATAACAAAAGTTTCTCAATACTTTGTTATATACCCTTTGTTGGCAATGACACAGGTCAAACAAGTCTTCACAAGGTTTTCACACACTGTTGCTGGTATTTTGGCCCATTCCTCCATGCAGATCTCCTCTAGAGCAGTGATGTTTTGGGGCTGTCGCTGGGCAGCACGGACTTTCAACTCCCTCCAAAGATTTTCTATGGGGTTGAGATCTGGAGACTGGCTAGGCCACTCCAGGACCTTGAAATGCTTCTTACGAAGCCACTTCTTCGTTGCCCGGGCGGTGTGTTTGGGATCATTGTCATGCTGAAAGACCCAGCCACATTTCATCTTCAATGCCCTTGCTGATGGAAGGAGGTTTTCACTCAAAATCTCACGATACATGGCCCCATTCATTCTTTCCTTTACACGGATCAGTCGTCCTGGTCCCTTTGCAGAAAAACAGCCCCAAAGCATGATGTTTCCACACCCATGCTTCACAGTAGGTATGGTGTTCTTTGGATGCAACTCAGAATTCTTTGTCCCCCAAACAGTTTTTACCAAAAAGTTATATTTTGGTTGTCTGACCATATGACATTCTCCCAATCCTCTTCTGGATCATCCAAATGCACTCTAGCAAACTTCAGACGGGCCTGGACATGTACTGGCTTAAGCAGGGGGACACGTCTTGCACTGCAGGATTTGAGTCCCTGGCGGCGTAGTGTGTTACTGATGGTAGGCTTTGTTACTTTGGTCCCAGCTCTCTGCAGGTCATTCACTAGGTCCCCCCGTGTGGTTCTGGGATTTTTGCTCACCGTTCTTGTGATCATTTTGACCCCACGGGGTGAGATCTTGCGTGGAGCCCCAGATCGAGGGAGATTATCAGTGGTCTTGTATGTCTTCCATTTCCTAATAATTTATCCCACAGTTGATTTATTCAAACCAAGCTGCTTATCTATTGCAGATTCAGTCTTCCCAGCCTGGTGCAGGTCTACAATTGTGTTTCTGGTGTCCTTTGACAGCTCTTTGGTCTTGGCCATAGTGGAGTTTGGAGTGTGACTGTTTGAGGTTGTGGACAGGTGTCTTTTATACTGATAACAAGTTCAAACAGGTGTCATTAATACAGGTAACGAGTGGAGGACAGAGGAGCCTCTTAAAGAAGAAGTTACAGGTCTGTGAGAGCCAGACATCTTGCTTGTTTGTAGGTGACCAAATACTTATTTTCCACCATAATTTGCAAATAAATTCCTTAAAAATTCTACAATGTGATTTTCTGGAAATGTTTTTCTCAATTTGTCTGTCATAGTTGATGTGTACCTATGATGAAAATTACAGGCCTCTCTCATCTTTTTAAGTGGGAGAACTTGCACAATTGGTGGCTGACTAAATACTTTTTTCCCCCACTGTACAGGGGGTGTAGGTACAGAGTCAATGTGCGGGGGTACAGGTTAGTCTAGGTAATTTGTACATGTAGTTATGGGTATAGTGACTATGCATAGATAATAAACAGTGAGTAGCAGCAGTGTAAAAACAAAGGAGGGGGGGGGGGGGGGGGGGGGGGGGGGGGGGGGGATCAATGTAAATAGTCCTGGTGGCCGAAGCGTAAAAGGCTAAAGGTGAGGCAGAGGTCCAAGTAGACTGCCCCCCCCCCCCCCCCCCCCCCCCCCTTTGGGATGTCTCATGGTCTGACAAACACCGCTCTAGCTCTGCCACCTTTCACTGCAGATGCGGAATGGCGACATCGGCGGATTGAGACACAGCCCATGCAAATAAATAAATAATAATCTCTAGTTTAAACTGACAGATTCTGTTGGGGATTTTTTACATTATTAGAATTAGATTTCCACAGGGGCGCGTCATCAACTCTAGGGGGTTTTAAACTCTAACTGTTTTAAAGTCACCATTGGCCTCATGGTGAAATCCCTGAGCGGTTTCCTTCCTCTCCGGCAACTGAGTTAGGAAGGACGCCTTGTAGTCAGTGGGTGTATTGATACACCATCCAGTGTAATTAATAACTTCACCATGCTCAAAGGGATATTCATTGTCTGCTTTATTTTATTTTATACCCATCTACCAATGGGTGCACTTCTTTGCGAGCCATTGGAAAACCTCCCTGGTGTTTGTGGTTGAATCTGTGTTTGAAATTTACTGCTCGACTGAGGGACCTTAAAGATAATTGTATGTGTGGGGTACAGAGATGAGATAGCCATTCAAAAATCATGCTACACACTATTATTGCACACAGTGAGTCCATGAAACTTATTATTTGACTTGTTAAGCACATTTTTACTCCTGAACTTAAGGCTTGCCATTACAAAGGGGTTGAATACTTATTGACTAAATATATTTCAGCTTTTCATTTTTAATTATTTAAAAAATTAAAGGGGAAGAAATGAAAAACATAATTCCACTTTGACATTATGGGGTATTGTGTGTTCACCAGTGACACAAAATCTCAATTTAATCACTTTTAAATTCAGGCTGTAACACAACAAAATGTGGAAAAAGTCAAGGGGTGTGAATACTTTCTGGTATTGGTTGTGTGCCCCCCAAAAACCCATATCGGTCAGGTGCTAATAGCATGTGATGAGTACTCATGGTAAAATGGATTACTTCTTTGTTTTTAGTTTGACCTCATCGAACGAAACATTTTCAACTTCTACAACGTGAAACCAAAGATTCAGTGTATTCATCCAAAGGTATGTTTTTTTATATTTTGTATTTTGGTAAAATGCTAACTCAAGCACAACTAGTTATTGGATTTGCCTACAGGTTTTATTTGAAGAGTAGAGGATAACACGAATGACGTACCATTTTGTAGTTGGAATACATTTCTCTAATCATTCTACATGAAGAATAGTTGTTACACACAACTAAAAGAAAATCATGAATCCTAAATCTAGAATGTATCATTAAGTTATTTCTTGTTTACAGGAAGGGAATGTGCAAATCTTGGGGCAGATCGAGATCTGCTTCAACTCAGACTTTCAACTGGAAGACTGTGAGCATTCTGAGACAGACACAGTGAACCTCAATGTTAAGGGTGCAGGGTTTAGTGTGTGTGACAACGCCACACCGGTCTACTACCCTTCCCTGAAGGGGAAATCGTTAATGTAGTGGCTAGTGAGGTATGGTCATGCATCCATTTATAATCAGTGTCATATCTCACATGGAACATAGATACAGGAAGATTCCACTTTGTGTGAGTTCGCACAGAAATACTCTATCTGAAAAACACTAACAGTTTTTAATTGAGTGTCTACTACTATTTGGATCTGTTTGCTGGCATTCAAACTTAAAATTGTAGTGCTTGATTCTTGGAAACAGGGGGGTCATGTTGTAACTCAGGGAACAAATCAGCTTTTTTTCTATATAGTACTTTACAAATCATAATAAAATTAATGTAAATAAGATACGTTTCCCACAGAGCTTCTTAGATGCTGCAGAGAAAGGGGAGGGTGTTATATGACACTAGGTATCGTAGACTAGTGGCGGATGCTACGTGTGATGGTCAGTCAAGTAGTATGCAGTGCATTATATCCTGTAGAGGGGAGGGGCGTCCATGTTTGAGCCTGTCGATGTGGAATGTAACCCTAATGCCACCTGTAATATAGTATGACATTTGCTTTTAAGTGATTTGCGAGACATTTAAATCAAATCAAATTGTATTGATGATCACGTACACGTGTTTAGCAGATGTTATTGCAGGTGTAGCGAAATGCTTGTGCTTCTAGCTCCGACAGTGCAGTAATATCTAACAATTTCACAACATATACCCAATACACACACATCTAAGGAATGAATTAAGAATATATACATATTTTAGACGAGCGATGTCAGAGGGGCATGGACTAAGATACAGTAGAATAGTATAGAATACAGTATATACATATGAGATGAGTAATACAAGATATAGAAACATTATTAAAGTGGCTTTTGTTCCATTTCTTAAATAGGCCTTAGTTTGGTCCTACATTTCGTTAAACATAACATTTAAAGTTAAATGCACAGTTTATGAAGAGTATGATCACTGCATTCATTACTTTTGTCTTGCAATATGTTTTTTATTTTATTTTGTTATAAACAGTGTTGAGTAATTATGGTAAGAATGTGCATGGTGGTGGTTAAAATGCATTGGTTAAAATTAGCAATGCCATCTCCAAAACTTAAGTCAAACTTTTTTGCGCACAGATTAACAAGGGTATGATGATGATGATGATTTAACCAGATATAGGTATTATATCTGTAACTAAATGACATTTATGCTGATAAGTTAGTTCGATTTCATTGAATTGTGGGATAAGCTTTGGTTTTTAAATGGTGGCCTTATTTGTAGGTTCCAATCCTCTGTAATGTTTACGCACAATTCATTAAAGTAATTTCTCTATTGCAGCAGTTTGTATGTACTATTTACCCTGCAATTTGTTTTTTAGTGAATCCAGTTAACAAGTGTAATGTGTAAGTATGCACATTCAACTATATGCCACAAGAGGTCAGAAAACCTCTACACAACACCAATGGCCAACAGAGGCAGTATCCCTGTCTAACACTGTGTGGCATTGTTCAGTCTAACAATAAATTGTACATTTAAATAAATGTTATATCCATGCTGATGAGTTTGATTTCAAATCTTGTATTTGTATTGTAACCCTCTCTTCATTTAAACATAATCTCAACTCCAGGTGTATATTAGAACAAAGGTGATGATTACTATGGTCTCCTGAGCAATTTTTAAGATAAAAATAAATAAAAAGTTCAGCTATTTACTATAGTGTTCACAAGAGTGGTTGAATAGCAATGCTGGTGGTGTATAGGCTAGTTGTACATGGAACATTGTGCTTTTAATACCTGGGCCTAATACAAGGCATGTCAGCACACTGAAGAGATTAATCTGTTAGTGACCGGTGGTAAGTAAAGCTTATTTTTACAATAAGTATTTTACATTTTATATAAAAGGGTTTTATCAAAAACTATGACAAATGTATCTGTCCTGGGAATGTTGAAATATTAAGTTGCACAATAACTTGTCTACTTATGTGTCCGCATAGTTTAGTATTCCCCTTGCAAATGTGAACTGCATTTGAATCGCTGTTCCCAAAATAAGAGTTAAAATGTATTATGGGCCTTGGCTGTCGGGTATAATGGATATTATGTGTGGCACAATCAGTTTTATGTAAGCTGTCGTCGTAGGATAAGAGGAAAGAGGTTATAGTGTCAATGTGTGTTGACACGGAGCCCCGCCGATCCTACACGACTGGTCTGCCGACGAAATCGTCTGATGTGGTTACGACGTTAACCACGAAGATTCCATCCATCTGCTAGCCCCGGCCCGCTAGCACACGCTAGCCGTGGCCTCTTAGTCCTTTACCACCGGACCTTATGATAACTCAGCTATACAGCTGATGTCTGCTGGACTGTTCCTTTTTACGGTACTACATCCTGTTTATGTTTAGCCTCAGCCCAAACATGGTTAGTTTATTGTTGTTTCGGTTATTTCTAATTGTACTATATCACTGTAGACCCCCCAGCCTAGCTAAACCTGCCTTAGATAGCTCCTTTGCCCCTCCCCCTATACACGCGGAGACCGACTCAATTGATGCCTCCAGCGATGCTATCTCTTTCATTGTTACCCAACGCTTAGGTTTACCTCCACTTTACTCATATCCTTCCATATCCTTGTCTGTACATAATGCCCTGAATCTTTTCTATAACACCCGGAAATCTGCCCCCTTTATTCTATGTACCCAACGCACTAGAAGACCAGTTCTTAAAGCCTTTAGCCGTATCCTTATTCTAGTCCTCCTCTGTTCCTCTGGTGATGTAGAGGCTAACCCAGGCCCTGCAGCCCTCAGTATCACTCCTACTCCCCAGGCGCTATCATTTGATGACTTCTGTAATCGCAAAAGTCTTGGCTTCTTGCACATAAATATCAGAAGTCTACTTCCTAAGTTTGAGTTATTCACTGCGTTAGCACACTCTGCCAACCCTGATGTTCTAGCAGTGTCTGAATCCTGGCTCAGGAAGGCCACCAAAAATTCTGAAATTTTCATCCCCAACTATAACATTTTCCGTCTAGATAGAACTGCCAAAGGGGGTGGAGTTGCAATCTACTGTAGAGATAGCCTGCAGAGCTCTATCATACTATCCAGGTCTGTGCCCAAACAGTTTGAGCTTCTACTTCTAAAAATCCACCTTTCCAGAAATAAGTCTCTCACTGTTGCCGCTTGCTACAGACCCCCCTCAGCCCCCAGCTGTGCCCTGGACACCATATGTGAATTGATTGCCCCCCATTTATCCTCAGAGTTTGTACTGCTTGGTGACCTAAATTGGGATATGCTTAATACCCCAGCCATCCTACAATCCAAGCTAGATGCCCTCAACCTCACGCAAATTATCAACGAACCTACCAGGTACAACCCTAAATCCGTAAACATGGGTACCCTCATAGATATCATCCTGACTAACATACCCTCTAAATACACCTCAGCTGTCTTCAACCAGGATCTCAGCGATCACTGCCTTATTGCCTGCGTCCGTAACGGGTCCGCGGTCAAACGACCACCCCTCATCACTGTCAAACGCTCCCTAAAACACTTTAGCGAGCAGGCCTTCCTAATTGACCTGGCCCAGGTATCCTGGATGGATATAGATCTCATTCCGTCAGTAGAGGATGCCTGGTTGTTCCTTAAAAGTAATTTCCTCTCAATCTTAAATAAACATGCCCCATTCAAAAAATACAGAACTAAGAACCGATATAGCCCCTGGTTCTCCTCAGACTTGACTGCCCTTGACCAGCACAAAAACATCCTGTGGCGTACAGCATTAGCATCAAATAGCCCCCGCGATATGCAACTTTTCAGGGAAGTTAGGAACCAATATACACAAGCAGTCAGGAAAGCAAAGGCTAACTTTTTCAAACAGAAATTTGCATCCTGTAGCACTAACTCCAAAAAGTTTTGGGACACTGTAAAGTCCATGGAGAATAAGAGCACTTCCTCCCAGCTGCCCACTGCACTGAGGCTAGGAAACACTATCACCACCGATAAATCTACAATAATCGAGAATTTCAACAAGCATTTTGCTACAGCTGGCCATGCTTTCCATCTGGCTACCACTAACCCGGCCACCAACTCTGCACCCTCTGCTGCAACTTGCCCATGCCCCCCCCGCTTCTCCTTCACACAAATTCAGACAGCTGATGTTTTGAAAGCGCTGCAAAATCTGGACCCCTACAAATCAGCTGGGCTAGACAATCTGGACCCTTTCTTTCTAAAACTAGCCGCCGAAATTGTCGCAACCCCTATTACTAGTCTGTTCAACCTCTCTTTCATAACGTCTGAGATCCCCAGAGATTGGAAAGCTGCCGCGGTCATCCCCCTCTTCAAAGGGGGTGACACTCTAGATCCAAACTGCTACAGACCTATATCCATCCTGCCCTGCCTTTCGAAAGTATTTGAAAGCCAAGTTAACAAACAGATCACCGACCATTTCGAATACCACCGTACCTTCTCCGCTATGCAATCCGGTTTCCGAGCTGGTCATGGGTGCACTTCAGCCACGCTCAAGGTCCTAAACGATATTATAACCGCGATTGATAATAGACAGTACTGTGCAGCCGTCTTCATCGACCTGGCCAAGGCTTTCGACTCTGTCAACCACCGCATTCTTATTGGCAGACTAAATAGCCTTGGTTTCTCAAATGACTGCCTCGCCTGGTTCACCAACTACTTCTCAGATAGAGTTCAGTGTGTCAAATCGGAGGGCCTGTTGTCTGGACCTATGGCAGTCTCTATGGGGATGCCACAGGGTTCAATTCTTGGGCCGACACTTTTCTCCGTGTATATCAATGATGTCGCTCTTGCTGCTGGTGACTCTCAGATCCACCTCTACGCAGACGACACCATTTTGTATACATCTGGCCCTTCATTGGACACTGTGTTAACAAACCTCCAAACGAGCTTCAATGCCATACAACAATCCTTCAGTAGCCTCCAACTGCTCTTAAACACTAGTAAAACTAAATGCATGCTTTTCAATCGAACGCTGCTGGCACCCGCCCACCCGACTAGAATCACCACTCTCGACGGGTCTGACCTAGAGTATGTGGACAACTACAA